GAGAGAAGGCGAAGGAAAAGAAGAWAATAAGATAAAATGCCGAAAAAAATGAAATCATATAAAAAGAAAACCCAGTTYATCATAAATTCAAAATATTTYTATGAATGAAATAGTAGAATTAAGTAAAAACAATAAATAATTTGTATTCTGAATAGAGTTGTATTATATGATATAGAGATTCAAAAGTTTTGATTTTTATGTAAATAAAAAAATTAATTACCTACTAAATATGTAGATTTTAATTGGATGAGTCATACATTAAAATGTTAATTTTTAATATGGAATAATGTCAAACAATATGTTTTAAAACACATTAAAAGATCAATATCAGAAAAATATTTCATAATAGGTAGGTATAATATTTATTACTTATGTGTTCAATTTTTCAATTACAAGTAATATTATTGACAATACCTATACAAAATTGTACATAATTTACATCATAGACAGAGAATATACAAAACTTAAAAGAACTAGTACACAAATTGATTTTTACACAGCTTTTAATTTAGGTAATATCAAGGGCAATACAAATAATTTTAGAACCACAAACTGATTKATACCAAAACATTTAATCTCTACATACACAACAATTTAAACAAGATGTGAGCTGTATATTGTTTATGCAATGATAAAATAATAACAGTTGTTGACAGTAATTATAACTTGGCATTGAAGTCCTAGCGTATACAATTGAAACGAACATTGTGCACTTGTGTGCTAGGTAGGTATAGCATAATATGTTATTAATATTGTTGAAATAAATAGAAATTATGATAGGTATTGACTAAGTTTGGTACAAAATGAAAAATTGAATGAAACAAATAATTCAAATGAACATTAATTTTGAATTAAATTAGATAAGTATACTAAATATTGAAAGGTAAACTGATAAATACATACAATCAACCTAAGTATGAGATATGGGACATAAAATTTTCCAAGTAGAACATAACATTACAAACATAGGTTAGCGTAATCTCTATTCCATGAGTGTAGCAATGGACTTGGGTGTATGACATTGTCATCAAAACAAACATATGGAAGTAAGTATAAGCCGATATTAAAGCGGACTCGGGGAGCAAAGTATTCAAAACAGATGTGACCGAATATCCACCGTTGGCTCAGCAATGGGGCAAGCAACAGTGACACGACTTACCTTCAGCTGCTATGTGGTCATTCCAGGAATGGTGGTGGCGGATCCTGGTGACGAGAGGAAGAAACTCCAAACGGACGGCGACGACGGATTTAATGTCGACGATGAGAGCTGGTGAACCGGTAGGTAAACGACGACGACGAGGACAGCATATTTCGTGCGTCCCAAATTTCTCGCAAGAAGGAAAGAGTGAAAAAAAAAAAGATTTGAGTAATGAAAACTAAGAGGTACCTAGTGCGGTCTATTTAAAACGACAGACGACCACTGTGGTGGCGGTTTGTGACGTGTCTCTGTAAATTCGGTGGTAGTCGTATTATTTTATTAATTATTTTCGTTACTATTAAAATTACTATTATACCTAATTGTCGTTTTTATTTTTCTCTCCGCTCGCACAAAATATTTTGTCACACGCACACACACACACACGGGCGTGCACACACACTACACTGCGGGGCCGCCAATGATAAGAAACGGTTGAGGCCATGACGGTTCATTGACGAGAGAGAGACAGACCGATAGTGCCGAAAAAAAAATAAAAAAAATAAACAACAAACAATAACAACACATAGGATAGTACGAAAGAGTACCCCCACCGAAAATCCATCTCAGCAGCAGCAGCGCTATCTGTTGGACAAGAACCATGTTAAACCTTTACCATAGTCTGTAGCGAATTTTGTCCAAACAACATAAACAATATTTAAGATATTAATTATTAGGTTWATAGAATTAATTCTTTTAATTTTTAATAATTCAATAAATATTAAKCATAGTGCATACATAGTAGATAAATATGATATCTTGATGGTAAACCGTAAACTTTACTACAAGTCTACAACAGTTGTACGTCGTTGTAGTGCAGTATGCCATAGCCCAAGTCCATATAGACATATTATAGTTAAGAGTACGTGACAGTGATATTTGTTGTCTCCGTCTTACCAGTGCGTAATATAGCAAATTTATTACGCTCAGCAGAACACTTGTAGCTCCTTTAGTTAAAAAATTACAGTGAATCGACCTATTATGAAACTTGATGGTAAGAACATTATCTGTGTTTGTACGTTGGCTTTTTCAATAATTCAATTTTTAAGTGAGTTTTGAGCATATAATATACAGTACATTAAAAATGCTCATAACTCACTTAAATATTGAACTATCGTAAAAAACCAACGTACAAACACAGATAATGTTCTTACCATCAAGTTTCATAATAGGTCGATTCACTGTAATTTTTAAACCAAAGGAGCTACAAGTGTTCTGCTGAGCGTAAATTTGCTATATTATGCACTAGTAAGACGGAGACAACAAATTCCACTGTTACGTACTCCCTAAAGGCTATACGCATTGATTATAAATAGGTACTATAGGTAATATTATTTATAATCAATTCTATAACCTAAATAAAGGCCGTCCGACCATATATAGAAATTATGCTCCCCGGGACACTTATTAAATTTCCCTCCTCTCTTAGTGGTAGGAGTGGTAGGACTGAAAGGTGGGTGGATGTCCAGTGTTTAAAATAAAAACTTTAAATACATTTTTACAACTATGAAACTGCATGTTTTTGTGTTTAATTGAAGAAACACGTTGATCTTTACTATTTAGTAAGTTACCGGGGGTTTTCYTAATTTTTTTGTTTTTATAAAACATATATTTCAACGAGTTAAGAACGATGGAGCAAAAAAATTGTTATTGTTGATAAAACTTCAGAACAATTATTAAAAATTRAATTCAAAGAATTTTAAGACAGCCGTGGATTTTCGCTTTGCAACAATAGGGTTTATATCCGAATTTAAATGTTATGCATTCCTGTATTGACCGACAATAGCCACAACCGGGCATATATTTTTGAGTTTTTAAGTTGATATTAAAATTTATTTACGGAATAGTTACCTACCTGCTATATTTAATATATTTTTATTTTTAAAATCGTAAATAAAATGTACATCTTAAAATACTCGCTTCCAAATCAGAATATAGGAAAAATCCAACGAGTTCGTCTAAATAATACTCTTACCTTCAAATTGCTTAAGAGGTCAATTCTCCCTAGTTTGTAAACTAACGGAGCTAAACATGATCTGCTGAACTTAAAATTTGCTAATGTTTGGTATGAACTTGTAACAGGGAGACAACACATGCGAGTATAACGTAGATAGTAGATTGGTTACCTTTCTACTTTTAGGAATACCAATCCACTTTTAGACACCATAGCAACACAATAACAGTGATCTAGTGTATGGTGTATTCAGTATACATGTACAATGTACATGTTTTTAACTTTTAAGTAAACATGGTGCTTAATTCTATTATTTATTACCATTGTAATGCCATTAATGGCCAATGGGGTACAGCACACAAGAATATTGGATAAACATTATCACTAGTCTACCCAATCCTAATCAGCACTTAGTAGTTTACTAGTTTATAATTGCATTTATTAAAATGATCAAATAAACTCATTATTAGTTACAATTATAATGTAATAGTGTATTTGTGAAGCCTTAGAACAAATAATAAAAATATGTTTAATTATCTATCAAAATCTAGGTAATAAAATAAAAAATACTCAAAATTGTCAAATTTGATTGTAATTTGTCATTGAGTATCAAATTTAATTATACATAGTACAGTAAAACTTTCATATAACAAAGTCACATAGAGAACAAAAAAAAAAATCATAATAAGGGGAAATTTGTTATATAGAATAACACATTTGTATTTGTAATGATGAATTAATGAAGCCTGAAATTTATGGTTCTACAAAATAATTTGTTAAAAAGAAAATTTGATCAAATGAAAGTTTGTAACATAGAAGTTTCACTRTATTTGTACATTTAATGATTTATAAATGTATATGATTAAAAATTACATTAATATTTGTATAGTAATATTTACTATTTATTATACCAACATTATAATAAATTGYAAATTATAGATAAATATAATTATATAGGTCGATCGACCATACTGCATCAGTATAATTGATGCATTTTAGTCTTAATACATTATACCTTTAGATTATGTTTGCTGTYTTAATTAAATACCTTCAAAAATAACTTAACACAAACAAATTTGATATTATTACACYACCAAAGTTACTGAATCTTACAAATTTATTTATTTGTTCTTAATATTGAATTATTCACATGGTAAATATTTAAAATACTTATGCAGTTATGCGTAAACCTTAGGTTAAACAAATAATTGTACAGTTTTAAGTTAAACATCAATATTATAAATTATAATATTTAAATATTATATAATATATTATATTAAACATTATATTTATATTTTATTATGTTTATAATTATAAATATTTTGTTTTAATGACTACATAGATTGATGAATTATCGAAAAAAAAAATAACTTTAGGTAAAATTTCAATAATAATATTTAATATTTAAGTTATGATTAATATATTTATTATTAATTACTTTCAAAAATATATAATGCAGAATAGGTTTAAAAAATTAAATCTAAAAAGACATTTCAATCAAAATAAAATAATTATTTWAAAATAGTTTTGAAGCTCTCAAATTAATCTTATATAGTTTTATTTTACAACAAAAACTATTTATTAATACCTTTATAATGTAATAGTTGAGTGGCATCTGTCCTTCTGAATTTAAATTTATATAAACTAATAGACTAGTAATAGTTTAAAAATAAATATTTAATTGTACAATACTACAGAGTAAGATACAAAATACAATCAAAAGTGATATATTTGATTGACTAAACAATTTATGATATACTAATCGTGTACAATATGATATTTGAATTAATTTATAATTATGAAAAAAAAACCAGTCAAAAAAACATTAAGTAATTATCAAAACTTATAATAAATTCAGAAATACATATAATTATGATTAATATAAACACCTTAAATATACTTCATTAAATGAATAAATCATATTAATCAAGGCCTTCTTTTTTCTCCCTTAAAGCTTCCTAAAAATAAAAAATAAAAATACAAATRTTAGTTGAAATAATTATAAAAATATGCTTWTAAAGATATTGATATGTTTAATGGGGATTAAGGAATATTGCCAATTGTATTTGAAAAAAATGATGAAATGCAATTTTTTTAAATGTTGTAGATGTATTGTTCTTCAAATATAACAAATTTTCCTGTGAARAATTGTATTTAAGGCTAAGTAACATRGTTCTAGATACTTTGAACATAATATAAACTCATAAAGATAAAGAATACCTACAAAARCTAAAACAAGAACAAAATWTATWTTTTTTTAAATAGACAAAATGATGTTAATTATAACTGRCATTCTATTCTATGTGATAAAAATATAACATTATAGTAGGTCTAGTAGGATAAAGGTAATAAGAAAACAGCTGATAAAGAGCCAACAGAGAATAAGTACCTTGAAGTCATTAATAATATTGAGAACAATATTATGTTCAATGGAAACTTGAAAAAAAAGTTAAAAAATTAATAAATATAAAACATCATTCAAGTAAATTAACAATTATTAAAATATATAATATTGTATAAATAAAAATACAGGGAAATTGTTTATATGATTAAAATCACAATAATTTAATAGCAAGTTTTTTTATATAAACATTATAACTTACAGATTTTATTAATTTAGATTTTATAAATAATTTTCTACAGTACAATATTTTGTTCTAACATTATCCTGCTACTTAAATCTCTTACAGCGTCTAAAGCCAATGTTGTAGGAAAATATTAATGTGCTAAACACAGAAACAAAAGAGATTTAGTAGTTTAATAGATAATATTAGATATGATATATGTATGTCRTATACGGGCACTTTATATTATATACCAACCTAACTGTTCTATCAAWGTACAGCAATCTAAATTAATTATTTAAAGATAATACCTTGAAACGTTCTTCAAACAAAGAAAGTTCAGCCAAGAGATCAGTTATAGAATTAGTTAAAGCATCTTGAGGTGTATAATCAGATGTTGTTTGTATGCGAAGTTCAAATTTATGTTCCAGTGGATGTGGTTGTTTATATCCAGCAAAAAGTACATTTGGGTCTTTAAGAAGTTGGCTAATTTAATAAAATAATACATTATAAAGTATTAACACAATAATAATAATCGGTAACTAAGATAATTATCAAGCAGATACTTACTTCCTGATCATGTTTCCCAGAGTATGATCTTCTTTGTTGACAGTAAAAATTGCTGCATTTGTAACCTTAGTATCTACTTCTTTGACTATTCTAAAATTCAAAATGCAATGTTAGTCAATTCCAGGAACCACCAAATTTATCTATGACAGATGTCATACCCAGTAGAAATATAAAGATAGGGGGAAGGGWGGCTATTGTATGGTACTGCAGATGTCTGGCTATGAATCCAGAATTGTAAGTATAAAAAATKTTAAATATAAAGATAATAATAAATACAATATATGAATAATTAAAAACAGCTGCTATATTTAATATGGTAGGTTAGGTTAGGTTATATATATACCAAAACTGTGTAAAAACTTGTATTTCCATTTTTTTTTTTATATACAAAAAAACTGAGATTAAGTATGTTGAGTCCATTTGTAACTCACAAAATCGCTCGCTTCAATTTAATTAAAYGTAAATAAAAATTGTTTTTCTTTCTAGTATCCAATATCGACAACCAATTTCTATCAGTAACAACCTACAAAGTTAAAAATCTAATCATTTGTCTATGGTTGATCATAATATACACAAAGAAAAACATCCTTGATAAATCTTAATCAATTTAGTATTTTTTTTAAACTAAATTGTAAAAATAAATTACCAAGCATTTCAAATATGTTTCTAGTCATAACATTTTAAAAAAAGGAGGATGATGGTTGGGACTCATTGATGTATAAAGTCATACTATATAATTTAAACAATTCGGGGCCACTATTCACGGGTATAATATAACTCAATATAACTCACTTTTTTTCTCCGTCATACAGCAAAAACGATTCAAATGTCGGAGGAGCATTCATTTTATAGGCCTAGAGTACACTAAAAAAAAAAGAATACAGATAACGAAATATCAAAATATTTATTAACAGCTCAATAACGAAAAGCGAATATTTTGCGAGTGGCGAACTGGCCAGTCCGGTGAGTGTTAATACTTAATAGTAAGTTGACAAAGTTTTAATCAATATTAATAAGCTAAAACAATAAACAAACAACAAGCAATTCTTATCAAAGTAGTGTTATCAATGATGTATAAAAACCAAAGATATAATATATAAGCAATATATATATATATATTCGTATGAATGTTATTAACACATTAACAATAAAATAAATTATGAACATGGAAGTTATAAGTTATGGTATTAAATAATAGATAAAATAATGAAATTTAAAAAAAAAAAATAATAATAAAATAGGAAAAAAGGAATAAACATTTTGGCAATAATAATACAATACAGTAACATATTATATACTAAAATAACTCTAGGTGGGTACTGGGTAACATATAATAGACTAAGGGCCATTCTTACAATGCTCGGTTAGTGCCTGATAACACTAACCGGAAGAATTTATCATGAGTTAACCGATAGAATTCTACCGGTTAGTCTTAAYCGACACTTAACCGGACATTGTAAGAACGGCCCTTAGACAGTTATATATTGATAACTAATTTTTCAAGCCAATTAATACCATCCCTGGTAATTTTATTCAGCTCTGCCAGTCCCCCAGGGAATGCTCTGGTGGGGCATTCTTCCACTATGTGTCTTGCGGATTGGGCATGGTGTCCACAGTCATATATATATATATATATAGTCATATCATATGTCTATGATAAAAACTTTATAATACTCTTTGGAATTTACCATGACAAATATTATCATGGAATGTACCTACTAAAATAATATTTATCCTGTGGTCCGGTAATGTACATAGAGAGGGGAAACGGGCTGAAGTCCCCTCCAACCACCATAACCTACGCATTAACGATATTACTTTTTTTTGAAAATATTTATTTAGTTTCAACTAACATATTTATCTAATAAGCTAGAACGAAAATGCATGTATGTCTTGCCGGATTAGCTATTAATTAATAATATCGTAGATAGGTAGGTTAAATTTATTTTASTAAAAACATTTCATTTCATTGTATCTATTTGCATATCAATTATCATTAAATGATCAGTTATAAGTCGGTAAAAGTATTAAGTACTTGTATAAAAAAAACTTTTATTAAATTGTCAAGCTACATTTTTATAACTACAAATCATTTGTCGTTTTGTCAAAATTGAGCTTCAAATAAATGCTTATAGAGTTCCGTGTTAAGAATTAAGAATTTTATGTTTAAATTCTCCGAATAATATTCTGTTTTGGAATATGAAATGAAAAATGTTTAGTGTCATCCAAAAACATAAAAAACTTTAAAAACTTAAAAACTGATGACAATATCGTATTATAGGATATTAATATCTAACATCTATGATAAACGCCAATATTGTCGTCATTTGTCGGACACTATTCACAGTAATTATTCTAATAATTTCAATGAATAAAATATAATAATTAATAATTTAAAACCCAACAAGAAACCGAACAGTCGTTTAACAATACTTWTCTTATTACTAGGGCTAGGATTTATATGCAATGAAAAATTGTAAAATATGCATTTTATTTACCAAAATATGCAAAAACAAATTTTTWTTWTTWTTWATTATAATTCATAATTTATTATTAGATCATATTATTACATTAAATATTAGTTTTATTAGACGTAACTTGGCACTTTCACTTTGAACTTTCGGCATACTGGACATTATTATTAAAACCAATCAAATTATTAAGTATAAACGTCCGCATATTTACGCAACACACGACGTACTGATACAATTTTTCTGTGCTATCTCACTGTATAACAATGCAGTGTAAGTAATTCTACCGGTCGTCCGACCAACGATAAGATAACAAATGGAAATCATCTGACCTATAAGATAAAATAGGTAGGTAGTATTTATGCTATATATTTACAAAAATTCAATGGATAAACCAAAAACTGTCGGTTTCGTGAAGTACCATTTAAAATTAACAATAACTTATAAAAAATAAAAAAATATCGAATTCTAAAAAAATTATGAATATGCAATTATATGCATTATGTCCAAAATATGCAAAAAATATGCAAAAAAAAATGGTCCGATTTAAACGAGAATAAGCCAAATCGTGGACATATCTAACAACCAATCAATTTGGACTAAAGGAAAAAAACATGCAAATGCATTTAAATCCTAGCCTTACGTTATTACCTACCTACTTATACTACATTTACTCACATATATCATTCTGATCAAGTTTTTTTTAAATAAAATATCTCGATAATACTTTTCTTTCTGAGTGAAATGAAGACGAATGAAGACTGCAGTCCCTTGATATGTGGATTTAGTGGCGTATATAAGAAAGGGCTAGNAAAATTTATAGTAATTTATTTTGCGTTGATAACATTGCCCTACCCCCTACCAATCACTACCATACAATTACATCGAAGACAGACTGACGAGTAGAACAGACGAACTGTCAAATAAATATAGTAGTCTCTAAAAGCTAGATCGGTAATATATAGTTGTTATCCAGTGTAATAGTCCACTCAAAAAATAATTTTTTTTATTTTAAATGAGCCTCAATAACAAAGGTTATTGGCCTTTAACATTAATATTTTTATCATTAACAATAATATATACAAAACAAAGGTAATAAAAAGGATTGAGATATATCTAGGTTAAATAAAAATAATTTTTATATACTTCAATGTATGGAGTTAACACTCTAAATACAACTCGGCTACTTATGTTTAACCCAAAGAGTCAACATTTAAGTAAGTTTGATTATCTATTGTTCTGGAGCTTGCATATTTTACTTTTTACTGTTTTTTTTTTGTCTTAAAATTATAGTTTATTGCTATCACGGAAAATTTTTTACCCAGGTACGAAGACACATCGAGAGCGCAACGCATAATAAATATATACGCAATCACGAACGACGACGAAGGGTCGAAGGCATAGCATCTCCAGGTCGTATAGAATGTTATAATATTTATTAAATCAATTATAAATAGTATTGTATAATATACTAGTCGTAAGTCCCGCCAAATTCAATAATTTTTGTTGTAAGTATATATTTAAAGTTTAGTTATATAATAATATTTAAACCTTGCCCTCTCCCACCACTACAAAACAGCTCAAAGTACGGTGATAATGTCAAAGGGATTGGGCGAATTTAATAACGAATGAACAATGAAAATATGTATGAATAACATTACATAATGACGTCTGAATGTCTGATCAATGAACGTACCATCACTAATCAAAGTTACGTCGTAATTTATCAAACATGAAATTATCATTATGTTTATGAATCCGCGGGAAAATCGCTCTACTATAAATCAAGTTTTTCAGTGTAACTTGTCAACGAGTAAGCTGTAGTGGATGAATTGAATTCATGATAATATACTATTCTATACCTCTGTCCTCCACTTAAAACAATTTTGAAAGGACTAAAGGAGATATAGTTTCGGGCGGCCCCCTTTTCGGCCAAAATGTACCCTTCCTTTTCGGCCAGTGTCACTTTTCGGCCAAAACTTACCGTTTACTTTTCGGCCACTGTTCCTTTTTGGCCAGCACAGTTTTCTTTAAAATTTACAAAAAAAAAAGAATACAGATAACGAAATATCAAAATA